TTAGGGGGGGGGGGGGGGAGGGGAGGGGTGAGAGGGATAGGGAGCAAAGCCGGACCAGCATCTTTAACGCCACTGTAAACATTTTGATTTCACAAATCGATTTGATGTGTTGGATACTCAAAGGGAATAAAACTGACACTTTTCAAAATATAAAAATGTATACTACTAACGGCAAGGTATACAATATAAGAGGTAAGGTTTATAGGATAGTTCATTAGAAAAATTCCACATACTCGGTAGGCATTTTGTTGTTTATTGGCGAGCTTTTCGTTAGATTATCATTCTGAAAACTTCACAGCCTAAAGGTTTTAGGCGAACGATTGGAAAACTAATATTGTGATAAATCTTTCACAGAAAAAGTTAAAAATTCTGAAAGAGCAAACTATTAAAACGTCTTGTTAAAAGAGACAGTTTGCATTTTCGGGAAATGATTTTTGTCTTGAATACATGTATAGGCAAATACCCTTCAGAAGTACTAAAACGAGAATCGCACATTCTCTTCCAGCGAGCTGTAAACAATATAACTAATATGCTTAGCTAAAACAAAATCCCGTTTCTAAGACAAAGGTATGATTGGTCGAACGTGTTGCTTCAAAATGATGCTGGTAAACAGCATGCTGGGAATTTTAAAGATTTCTATTTAAGTCCACGAGAGTGCTTGGTGATTTCGTTTTTTACTTGACAAGAAAGATGAAACCGAAGGTCATAGCGACTACTAGATTTCGACTTGCTGCTCTCTGACTTCCACCTGGAGTAAGTCCCAAATCAACATTACAATAATGTCCACTACACTGTGAAAGACACTCATATCCCAAAACATCCTCATTACAAACATCTTCTGTTTCGCGTGGTAAATTTGAGCAGCCACGAAGTAGAAATGTTGGTAACATAGTTTCTGAAGAATAAGTTACATAATGGTTATTAGAAAGGTAATGCCCACTGCATGTATTAACGTACATTTATAGAAACTTGGTTCATTTTGCACATAATGCTATTATAGCATTGGCTATTAAACGTTTATTTGGTGCAAGATATTATAGCATTTTGAGTTATAATGGCAAAGAAAATTTGATATAAAATTGAATAATGCTGAAAAAGGCTCACTTGAATTTCGTGATGATCGAATTTGTTTGTTGATTCTCCCAAGGTTTCGAGTTTTTTATGTTTATATAATTCTGTATTAAAACGACATCTATATAAATTATATACTATATCAATTTTAAACTATTATATTTTATTTGTATGCTCTCACCTTTATCCCATCTACTTTGTATTAAACACAATCCTGGACATTTAACGTTATTTTGTATTTCAGTCATGTTTTCTGCCTCGTATATACATGATGTATCTTTCATATTGCTTTGATATTGGCAAGTACGACACACATATCTTTCCACTGAAATACAGTAACATTATTTATTGAAGGTCAAGTTGGGTCATTTAGTTATAAACCTATCCAAAACTGACAATAGTGTAATAAAAAAAAGTCCATCCTTTGTTTGAACTTCACAAGATCTTTCTGAGCTAGTCTCATAGATGCATGAATCTTTTAATTTTAAATTTTTACACGGCTGAATTATCTGAATGGTCGTTGTGACTGAAACACGCGGCAAATAAATTTGTTTCGGACACTACTGAAAGTCTGAATAAAAGTTTTTAACGGACTTTAAGCAATACCAACCTAAAAAGATACAGCTTTTGAGATATACTTGTTTCAGTAATTAATTTCAGCTTTGTATAATAGACACAAATTTCTAATTAATTAAATATCAAATTGTGCCAAAAAGTAACACGGGACCTTTTCATTAAAAGTTATCTTAAATGATAATAGCATGTTTTCATGATTAGTACAGTTTAATCAACCAATCAGATTACAGTATCTTAGTTAAGCTTTGGAATATAAAAAGCTAGAATACTAGAATTAACTATTTGTTTAATTTGGTTCGTCGACGTATTTTAACTTAAGTTATCTTCAAACATTTAATCATCTAAACGAATCTTGAAAAGAAAAACTTTCTTATAATGAATTACTACTCTAAAAAACATTTTTTTCGATATCTGAAGATACTAAGTTAAATAATCAATAACGTACACTTTTTAGTCAATATATAGGTAAAACAAATTGATAATTTGATCGGAACCATTTTAATTTAATTCCCTTAGTTTATAACCTACAGTGATCTTCAAGCTTAAAATCGACGTTCTAGAGTACTTTTTATGGTAAAAAGTGTCTGATCCTGTGATTCACAGATGATAAAAAATAGAGTATCATTACCTGATTGACTGACAGTGAATACAGCACACAGTAAAAGAATCTTTGTCCATGTCTTTGGTAAAGACTCCATTTTAACGGAAAAATTTTCGTCTTCGTGTTGTTCTTTAAAAAGACACCCGAATAAGACACTACATTCTAACAAAGATGTTTTATCACAATATAAATATTGTGGTTATATTCCTCTCGATTATTTCATTTCATTCTAGCCTATATAAAAGTCTTTTTTCTCTATGTATAGATGACAGTATGTTATATTGACAATGTGGGTTAAGTGTGGATGGTGTTTACTCTGAATATACACCATAGGCTATCATCTACTGTATCTATTCAATATCTACTATAGATACCAATTATTTATTAAATTAACTTTGTACTTTTCTATGATCATTAAATCGATGCACTGGGATGCGTAAGATTTGCTTTTAGTGCATTGGATTTGGAAGGTAAATGAGTAAAGAGCGTCTAAATGTTGCAAACATCACGGTTTATTGACATTTACATAGGTTACAGCAACTACACCCAAATCTTTTCACTACACCCAAATCTTTTCACAACATTAAAAAACGTCAAAAAAGAAAATTCAAAACGTGAGTGAAATAATGATTAAACCAAAAAAATGTTTTGTTTTTTTTTAAATCAAACTAAATTAATCAATAATCAAGAAACTGTATTTACATAAACAGAATACTAGAGTTTTTATTTGAAAAAAATGCAAGGCTTAAAGCAATAACCTACATATACAGTTCAAGACAAAAGAAATCCCGGAAGAAATATAGAAGTGCTTTTTTAAAGTGTTGAAATATCTCCATATTCCTCGGACCAACTCAATATTTTAGTAATGGAGGTCATAAGTAGGCTTGTTTCTTGAATAATCCTGAGCCAAAACAAAATAATCTTTTGAAGTAAAGTCCTATTAACAATAGCCTACTCAAGCTTATAAAAGCTCTAAAGTATTTCGCAAATTTATAATATTGTAATTTTTCTATTAGATAAAGATTTTTGGATAACTTGTTTGTTATTCAATATTAAGCGCGATTAATAGCACATTTTTAAAAAGTATTTAAAAACTTCTTGGCCCTTCTCATCTAAAACTCCAGACTTCGAAGTTGTAGTCTGGCTGCTATTATATGGAATAATACAATTTAATAAATCAGAAACAGAAGTAGATCGATTACTTGTTGACTTTCTACTCGAAGAACCAATTTGAATAACACAGACGACAAATCAATGTTAACACAATGTCGTCAATAATGTAATCTTAAACGGCTTAAAGGGTGATGATTATATGCGGCATTACTGCAGATATAAGAAATGATTTTGTTTTGTAAATCGGTTTTCAGCAGATTGATTGTGAAGTTCTTTCGTATATTCGTAGATGGATTTTTTATCTTATAAGTTCGGTAAAACGGTATCTCCCCAATGACTGAACACGTCTCAAGCAAGAACGAATCGTCTTTTTAACTTTCAATTAAAGTAATTCTGGACACACATAGATTTGAAGGCTTAAATTCGACGGTGAGCTGTGATCAATATTACTGATTAGCTTATCTAAAATAATTCCGTTTCATGGAGTAAGGTTCGATTGATCTGCCCCTTTAATTCCACAGGGAAATTGTGGTATTCTCAGTTATGAAATTTGATTGTATAAATTACTTGTGATTTCTCACAACACAAATGTAACAGAAAAAATACTTATATCATAGAATAAAAAAAGAGTGGAAAGAGTGGCTACTTTGAAATATGAAATAATCGAAGGCTATTCGATTTTATAGATATTTTGTTGAATGATGCAGACATTGCACTACGAGAACATTTGTTAGTTCTTCATAGTTCAACTTAGTTTTTTATTAATTTATTTCTCTTAATCAAATATTCAGGTATAGATGACAATATTAGCTTTTAAATTCAAGTCATCGATAAAACGATTTGATTGTACTTGTATTTCAATTTATTTCAGTTGCAGTTGAGATCTTCGTACAGATAAAAGTATACGTAACGCGGCTTGTTCACACGAATTCTTCGTGAAACGTTCTCTGGGAAAATTACATTCAAATATTGTATGTCATCATGACACAATATTGGAGGCGACTACGAACACCACGAAACTTAAACACAAGATTCACTTGAAGAGCAAATATAACACAACGCGATGAGCTTGACTTAATCGTTATATGCAACATTCACCTGAGAAAATCTGAGATACAGTGACAGTGTGATACTTAGGTCAAGAAGACTGGTTTAAATAGACAGTCAACGGGGCAGTAAATTGAACACAGGTATTATTCACAATCCTAAATTCACAGTTCCTTTACTTGTTTCCGCTGAACCAAAGTAATATCCACAATCACACGACAGTGCAACTCGTTCAATGCCGTTTATGTTATGTTCGTTGTTATGGTGCTGCGTCTTAAGGCTTAGAATCGATTGGCAATTATTCCAACGATTTTCAATATAAATATCAAGGAAAAGGAAGGAAATAATATTTGAGTTGAACTTTTTTTATCCTCTACTTTAATATCGTTCATCATCGTTTCATCTATTGCTGGTCCATCATTACAGTAATGTCCGGTACAGGTGAAAAAGCAGTAGTATTTTAATTCATCTTCAGTACAGCCATCTTCTGGTACTACTCCACTACCACTGCATCCACGATAAAAATACGACGCCTCACCAGTTTCTGAAATTTTATTAATTTGTTAAATCATATACCTAATTGACTACGCTCCACCAAATACCGTAAGTTGTATTGTAAAGCACATTCATTAATACAAGATAATTTGATTGAAGATAGACATTCTAGGGTGGACTTTATGCTGTATGATGGCCTGCATAACTGTTGGGTCCAATGGTTGCGACACCAATGGACATTGTGGTTTTTTTTATTACATAATACAACCCTTTCCACAACAACTACTATAATGTGAATCTCGGGCATCTCTAGAGTCTTGATAATAATGAACTAACGTAGCAATATTCATTACTTTATTGTTTAAAGTTTAATAGAAAAAGTAACCTTTGTCATAATGACTGCTGGAAGTACATCTGTTAGGACATCTCATTCTCCAGTCACCAACTGTCCAATTTTTAGGATTAGTAACACAATTGTAACCAACTTTAAATGGGTGTAGATTATAAGCACAGGAATAACACATCTGGCGCCCATCTGGAAAAGAAGATCATTGGTACTAAGTTACTAACTCACTGTGTGCTAATGATACCATGCTATTCCTAGGAATTTATATTCATGACCACACAAACTGAGTCTAACTGTTTTTATAACAATGTTACGAAATCAGACGCACAGGCTTGTAATAATCAAATAATCAATGTGTGAAAAGTAACAAGATAAGTCCTGGTACATAAACCATATCTTGAAAAATTATGTCTACCCAGATGAAAATATCCCTAATAACTGTATTTTCTTCAAAACCCGACATTGGGGCTGGATGAACAGACTGATTGTAGGGTGGTTATAATTTTGTAGGATACGGTCAAGTTTTTTTTCTTTCAATATAGTTGACACATAATATTCTCAGAAAGACAATCGTAAAATGTGGTAATCGATGACTTCAAGAAGCTGTTTAATTAATGCTTTGATGTTAAAAGTCTCATTTACTGTCAACAAAGAAAGATCAAACGGTGGAGTAACTAACATATTTCTGATGAACCAACGTCTGTACTCATAATCTTTCAGTGTATTTCATTGATTGGATACTAGGATCACTGACAGGAAATGTACACTTGAACATGTGAGAAGCTATTATGCTGGGAAAGAAAAATAACCGTGCACTGTGCCAAAGTTATTGAAATTCCAAAGTATTTGCATCATTTATAGTTGAATTTACCTTACAGTTACATAATCAAGTGTAAAAAAAAATCCTGAAACAAATGAAACCTTATTCGAATGTCGTATTTCAAAGGTGTAAAATTCCATTCAACACTTATATGCGTTTTTAGAAATGAAAGTAATGTGACAATCGATATACTTCACTCGTACTAGATTCATTCTGTTACTCTTTGAATTTACATAGCTAATCCACATAGCTTATATTGTTTATTACACCCCAGTGGACAGATTACTCCGCTTGTGGACAACACGGCGTTGAATCAAAGTCCAGAGGCATTATTATAACTGCATTCCGCTAAATTAAGCAGTAAGGCAGGTGTCATGGTATGTCAAACCATTCTGAAACAACTAATTTTATTTGCTGGATTTGTAAACTTGGCATCCCTTTCGGAAATCTTACTAAGCTGATATTGATTTGGTGTATGATATATACAGATACATAAAGGAATATTAAAATAAAAAATAGCTTACACGTTATCCATATTAAACACGATAGTAAGAGTCCAACACATATAAAGTTTTCTAGATCCATCATCATCGATTTGTTATCTAATAGTTCTGCAGAGGAGTGTTGTCACCATTAAAAAGTCGGCTGAAGTTTACACGAAACAATGTATGCAATTGGTTGTTGTTTAATGTTAAATGTTCCAAGCACCAGTGATAAAGACTTATGGAACTAACAAATAATCCAGAGCAATAAACACCAACTATAAAACTCAATTTTCGAAACTTTCAGTGTCCTTCTCAAGAATCGCAAGGACATCACCACCAAGATCTCCTTCTTTGCTACACAGTCATTTGAAATAAATTAACCACAAACTAACAATGAATAACTCCAATTAAATAGTATATTTCAGACGAAAGTATAGTGATTAAACAAAATCAACAATTCAAATGCAATGTCACGACTAAAGTGGATTCTTCTTTGTTTAATTTGTAATTGAAGAGAGAAAAACAGAAGAAAAACCAACTTCTTACATCTTGGATGGCTCACACAACTCTGTAAAAATTTGTCAACTTAAATCTTGAAATGTAGCCATTTAACGTTCATTTCGACCTAGATTTCACAAGGTATTATAAAGTTTTTTTTATTGGAACCTCTTTCCTTCTTGATGTTAACACACGCGTTTAGAGTGCCAGCTTTACTCTAATCTTGGGCCAACTCGCCTTCAAAAATCTCACTATCTAGATTATACAGCAATAATCCACAACTAAATACTCCCTCAATATCTAAACAGCAGTCCTCAGTTTGTTTACAATCGATGTTGAAACAAGCCACTAACATCGGTATTTTAAGGTATTTTCCTCAATACTTGCCAGGTATCAATATTTTTTTTTGTCGTTTAAACATAACTGATTTAGAATTACAATCATTGCAACAATTAACTCAGTTTCAATTTGTTCAATTAGAAAAATATATAAAATAAGACCTAACTATTGTCATGTACAATATGTTAAGAGTGACTTTAAGTGACTTTAATGATATTTTGATAAATCTTGATAATATCACCACTTTCATAGTAAATACATGTACACAATTTTTAAGATAAATATGCGACTTTTTACTAACAAGTTAATAGTTTTCGTTTGGTTTCGTTTTGTAAGTGGCAAATTGAAAATGTAGTGAATATCTCTTAATATATCTTAAAATGATCTTTATTGCCAAAGCTTTTTATGAAGTTTACCAACATTTCATACCTCAACCTTATAATTTCAAAAATGTCTCGTACACAATCACACATTTTTTGACAGATTCGTTAGTCTGTGTCATTGCCATCTGTTGTTCACTCTAGAAGCAATACTTTTTTTTAAAAAAAATGGGTGTTTGTAGAGTGGTACCAGAGAAGATATGGTCTCTAAAGGGACATTATTACATACTGTTGCTCGTCTCCATCCTGTTCATCAGGAGCAGAAACTTCCATGTTCCTTAAAGGATTATGGATAGATAACAAACCATAGTATGAGAAGTAGCTTTTTTTAAGTGCCTCTGATTTTAATTGACAATCAATAAGATTTCTGTGCGCAATAGCCTTGCTCGCCTTATACTTTCTGTAAAAGGGGCAATCATCAGAGGTCTGACATCCCAACATATTGTACAAACCCTAAGAAAAAATCAGTTATTCTATTACAGAAAATGTTTAAAAAAAATACAATAGTTAACCTGAATAGCTTTCCATAAGTGATATTTTATTTTATTTTTGAGCCACACAACAATCTTCTTCCTAAACCCAGTAGCAGAACGTGTAAATTGTAACATATCATAGCTTATATTCTAATGTTATGCCATTCATAATAATATATTATCATTTGCTGTGATAAGTCTTTTCAGACAGGGGAAGTAGGTCAAGATAATACAACTTGGATTTTCAACCAGGTTGCCTCCATTTTGAAATGCAGGCTGGGGATCGTTATGAAAAAAAACCTAGTCGTTGGGATGGCACAATAAACCCGTGTCATATGTATTATGCTACAGACTGTTCACGTGAAAGATCCCTCCTCGACAATAGCCGGCAAGCGAAAAGATTAAGCTAATGTCGCTGCTTTGGCAAAATTTCTCTCACTGCACACTGTTTGGCGTCTCCCATAATCATTAGCTCGATCAAGTGCAGAGAAGTATGACGTAAAACTCCATTTAATTCATATCATTTCAGACAGGGAAGGATTATAAGGAGATAATCAATATGTAAATGTCAACATTTCCTATACATTGTTTATTAGTAAACATTATATATTGTTACAACGGTTTGTTACACACGTTTTCTTGTATACTTAACCCTATCTTCCGTCCATTAAAACTTCTTAACATTAAAACTTTTACTCTGGACACTGGTCAACTCGTTAGAGTGTCCAGTTATTTCACTTTATTAGAAATCTATCACCCAATCAGTTATGTGAACATTTGATCCAGCTATGAAGATCTTTTTAAATCTATGAGAGGATCCGGAAATAAACGAGTATAATTCTCTTAATTAATTTCGTTACTAGCAGTTGAGCAAGTTCAGCTCTCAAGAATTAAACTCGACACAAGATTCTTATGCAACGACAAAGATAACTAGCCGGGGAAGGTAACATGCACCTAAGGCAGCAATTGATCGAACTGGTTCGAGATCTCTACATTCCAATAAGCATCCAGGTCTCAAAAAGCCTTCCAACTTTCTTCCACATCATTTAACAGGTGGGTTCAAAGATATAGTTCAAGGGAGATAACAGATAATATGACCAAGAATTTATATGGACTCACTCCACTAATTCATTTGCCATCTCTTCCCATGTTAAAACACGAAATTCAACCTTCTATAACTTTTTCCAGAAATCTCGTTGAAAGCTTTCCAATATGTCGAATGAAAGCCTGACCAATTCTCAATGTCTCCTAAAAAATTCATTATATGATGACCATGAAAATTTTGAGCTACTAAAATTGAAAGTAGACTACTACCGGTTATACTCATCCGCTAGAGTTTGGCACTTCACAAAACGACTATTTTTAGAATTAGCCTTCCGCCTTTAAGTCTCTCATCATCTCACCAAATCTGAAAGATAATGCAATTTCAGACATCAAATTCCAAATCTAGACCAAATTTTACCCAAAAATAGGCAGGCAAAAACCCCAAAAGGGAGAGAGAAAGAAGATTTCTAAAAATAGCCTGGACTACATTCCTATACAATCATTTGCATAAAATGTTTTAGTGGAGTGAGTCCATATGGACCCAGGCCGGTAATTCATTTGTCATCTGTTTCCATGTTAAATCACGAAATTCAACCTTCTATAATTTTTTCCAGAAATCTCGTTCAAAACTTTCCAATATGCCACATGTAAGCCTGACCAATACTTCTGGACAAAAATTCAGTATATCATGAACATGAAAATCTTGACCTAGCCAAACAGCATGTATACCATTTTATCAACATCCGCTTGACTGCCAATGCACACAAAACGACTTTTTTTAGAATTATCCTTCAGTATGAAAATCTCTCATCTCACAAAATCTGTAAGAAAATGGTTCCGTTTCAAATTCTAAATCTAAACCAAAATTGGCATGCAAAAACCCCAAAAAGGGAGGGAGAAAGAGGATTGCTTAAAATAACACGGACTACATTCATACTATCATTTACATAAAATGTTTTAGTGGTCTGAGTCATTTATCCTCAACATACTGGACTGCAAACGTTTGTGAGCTTAGGGGTTGTAAAAAATTTACAAAGCCGCCAGCAAAAGTGAACAAAACGCAAGGCAAAATCTTTAAAGATTACTAAAAGTCACACTAATACCGCCATCATTTTACAGTTTTCATAAGCACTATCGGGTGCTAAAAAGTAGGACGTTAAACTCCGTTAATTTCATTTCAAAGCTGAAATATGAAACAGAATTCGTAGCAGATTGCACAGGAAAAAAATCATCTTAGGATTGTTGTTTTCCGAGGCATAGCCGTTCTACGAAATCTAGCAACACAGTGGAAACACAATGGGGGCCACTACCGTCATAAGGGCTCCCAAAACATAAAAGAATCGTTTCAGAAACAAGTCGTGGTAAGGATGCCATGAAATCCCCTGTCCAAACGTTTTTGGCGAATACTGGACTTTTATAATGTCCATATGACGCCTGTCTTGCGTCCCTCTTGATTCAATGACGTGCAAAACATGTCAAAAACAAACACAGTCACTTAGATACATAAGAGGTAATAATATGGACTTTATTATTATTACCTCTATGCTAAGCTATCATTGGCAACATTGGAAAATGTTTCTAGTAAAATGACAAGTGCAACATATTTGTTTCTAAGAGCTAATGGGAGACAACTATAGAATAATGATTTTCTTTTAGGACTCAATGGTGAAAATAAAGAAGACATAATACACAAAAGAAGTTGCACTTATCATTTCACTACAAAAAATTTTACAACTTTACAGTTGAAATATACTTCAGATATTCATCAAATATGACGGTGGTCTGTCATTTAAGATTTTTGAACGATGCTAAATGAATTATTTGAATGGACCTCAGTTAAGTTACATGTATATAAACATTTCATATAACAGTTCAATCATTATATTGTTTGAATTATAAGATATTTTACATTTGTCTTCGAATAAGTGTATTAGATAAATCGGTAGAGCATGGATTAATGGCGTAAATTGACCTCCATACAGTTATAGTGTTGTATGCCATAGTTGTTTTTAATTGGCCTACCATACTGATCTATGAAGAAACACAATAGTCGAACTATTTCAAATACGTGTCATGGTTATTTGCCTTAGATCGAACAACGGTGCAGAAAAGTAGGACGTGAAACTCCATTCATTCCCAATGGTGAAAACAAATAATTCATAACCATTAATAAAACTGAAAATTGAATATTTGAAAATTTCTCTGATATACCGTATCATACCGCAAAAGATAAAAGAACACACACACACACACTATCTAAAATAATTTATTTTATGTATATCATATATATATAGGTCTACATGTTATTGCAAAAACACGGTTTTATTATCCGATTATTCCAATACTGATGCAAAAACAAATCAACAAAAAACATGCCAGATAATGAGATTATGCTCACAAATATTGATTTAATTTATCACCTGATATTATTGTGCTATTGCTATTATGGAACTGGCAGGGTACAATATTGTTCGGACATCGTTGGCATTCAGCAAAATGATCGACAAATGATCGTGTAAGTGTTTATATTAGAAAAACTCTCAAACAGCATAACGCAGTAAGATAAATCTGAAACAATAACGATGGTGCGCCATTGGTGTCTTTATATATGTTCTGTATTAAATCCCCGTGTATACCATTACATAAATTACTATCACAGGAAAATGTACACGATGGACGGGACGAAACCTTAGAACATCCATTTTCTTTCGTTGGTTTTCGACATCCCCGATCCATGGACAGTAGCCGAGGAGGTTCTGAAATTAAAGTGGGATTATTACACATCATGTAAATATCTAGTGGGAGCTCATGAACTTGTCAACACCACAAGCAGAAATATATAAAAGGCGCCTTTTATCTGTTGGTTGAAATGCTTTACTCACTATATCAAAAAGACGATTGGACGATTTTCTTCGGCGTCATTTTCAATCATATTGGCTTTAAGCTTTTCAATGTCAAGGTATTACGAACTTCGTCTTCGAAAATTTGTCAAAGAGGCGATTTGGTTCAATTCTACGTTAGTCAATACAGCCAATCAGGGTCCTCGACAGAATGTCTGTAGATAATAACCTATAATGTTTGCAGTCTGTCTGTCGAGGGCTATGATTTGCTGAAATCGATACAATCCAATCAAATTGCATTATTCCATGATACAAAGAAGGTTGGCAAAATTTCCCCCATTGCACACGGCGTTGCCCATCTTCATCGACCCATTAAGTGCAAAACAGAAGTAAAACTCAATTCATTTCATTTCATCTTTCCAGAAAGCCAAACTACGATTGGGCTGGTCTAAGTTCACAAGCTATTCTGAGTTCAGTAATACATACCAATTTGAAGATCATAAACAGAATCTATAACGCATTGATTGTCTTCATGACAATCTAATTCTCTTATATTACTAAAATTAGCTGGTTTATCAACACATTCATAACCACTTGAACCGTCTTCACCAGCAAATATATAAGTGCATGACCAACATTTATAGTGACCTAAAAGTATAATTACATATAGGTTGAATTGATGATTACCCCGTGACCAGAGGAATTGAAACCGACTTTTGTTTAGTATGATTATTATACAATGTATATTAGAATGAATACATCGCCGAAGTAGTGAAATCGCTGTCCTTGCCATTGATTACGAAGCATTAATTGTTAGAATATCTGAAGGAATGCTCTTGGTCGGAGAGTTTTGTCAAGACTTGCACGGGCACACGAGGAGATAAAAATCTTTAATCGGTCGTTTTCCACCATGTCGATAATTACATGCGGAGCATGCAATTGAAAGGAAAATCAGTCTGATTGGATAATGACGGTCTGTCTTGCAGACGATAAAAATATCTGAGACAATTATCAAACTTTTGTCGGAGACACGATAATCTTGTAGCGGCAGCACAGGCATAGGTGAGATTTTACTCAAGACGGCGGCAAAAATCTCCGACCACTTGAGTGCCCGCAACTTAAGGCCCACATTAAGGATGTTCGGGATTCGAGTGTTAAAAACTTAAAGCAAGAATAATTTTCAGAATACCAATAAATAGTATATTATATTATATAATATTTCTGCTATTCAGTCGAACTAGAAGAACAATATCTGCCAAAATTTTTCCAAGATCTAAAAAGGTCATTTTTACACCCATACTTCGCCCACTATCAAGTTTATACCAATGTTTCTGCTAAGTTTTGCCAGATATATATCATTTTATCGGATTGCTAGTTTTGGTCAGGTCTAACTTTACATCTATGGTAAATTTTAAAATGTGTTATTCATATAAAATATATATATTTCAGGAACTGAGGCGCTTATTTGGTGGATCGTAAGTAAGTCTACTGTATATCAATTCTACTACATGCATGGCTAACTCAAAAGATATAGAGGTCGAAAACGGCCTTGGTTTAGACAATTTCTTTATATATCGAAGTGCATCCATACGTGAAATCGCATTATACAACAGGCATTCCCACCTCATCGACATTGAGGTGACCTGTTCAATTTGACGAAACAGCTTTTCCTACAAATTGCAACTACCTGAACTAATTGAATAAACTTTCTAAATCAATCAACCATTGCCAACAATCTAAAGTACTACTGAAAACCTTTATTTTAAAAGATTATAGGAAAGGTAAATACACTGTAAAACGATATCGTTATTAAGTTTATATATTTGTTTACTATAAACCATGTAGATAAACTGTCACTTCAATTTTTTTTAAAGATACTTTTACTATGTAGTATTGATAGTCTTCAAAAGTACTAGAAATGAACGAAAATCACATTATTCCTTCAAAAATATCTCTAACTAGTATTTTCTTTTCCTGTTTCTTTTTGGTGTCTTTTCTATATATTGCAGTGTCTTCAAGAAAAGATGACTTTTTAACTTTCAAACGCGGATAATTCTGAACACACAGGATTTGAAGGCTCAAATTTAGACGGTGAGCTTTGAACACTATTACTGATTGACTTAGCTAAAATTCCAGTTTTTGAGTTTGAGTGAATGATTGGTCAAAAAATGGAGAACCTCTCCCTTTAAGCGGTATAGAAAATACAGACTGTAAAATGATATATAGGCTACCTAAATATTTATTTGTTAGAAATGCTTTTGCTTGTTGGTAACTTTATGATGTTTAGGCTTAGATATCGTGTGGCATTTTTTAAAAACAAGGAATCGACAATTGAAAAGTAGATGATCCCGGATATTCTCTATAGGGTGTATATTTCGTGTAAGATAGGTTGGACTGATCACAAGCTAAATATTATGACACATATAGCAATTGTAAAGCGATAAAGAAATAGGGATACAAATATAGATAAACCAAAATAACTTATTAATAAGCTCTATTTCACGATTAGATCTTTATTTCTTTCATTAAAAGGGTGAGTCTAGGGTGCGCTTGTGAAATGCATTGAAATGTGTTTGAATGATAGGGTAATATTAAATATTAGTCTCACTCAAGCGAATATTTCAACACATTTTTTGTATAGCGAAAGTTTGCTTAATTTGAAAAGTTTAACAATTATAGTTTGGCGAGTTCTCATGATATCCCCAAATGTTTCCTAGTAGTCATGTCTCTAGATAAAGAATGGTCTAAAACAGACTGTAAACGGCTATGTCCCATTAGCAGGGTGGAATAGAAATAGAAATAGATGCTACATCAGACCAAAAAAACATGACAAACTTAAAAAGTTTGAGAAATTAACGACAGATTTTTTTTAGTTCAAACTAACATATAAACTAAGGAACTCATATCTCTTTATTTTGGTCTATAGTTTTGACTAATTTGAGCACCTAACTTTTGCTACCTGCTAAAACACCAGACTGCCCCTTTAAGATGATATTAGCTTGATTCCAAGTCCCATTCAAACCAATCATTCTTGGACTTAAATATTCTTAGTTTTTTCTCTAAACCATGGTATACACTAATTCGAAATCGACTGACACGTATTGGGTTTTCATAGCAACAGACACAGAGTTAGTTAATTTCTCTGGTAGGCCTATCCCTGTTATATTTAGTGTGAAGGCCGATAATCAGTAAGTAAGAATTAATAAATATTCAAGCCAGGCCTATAACTGATCGTATCTACAACATGATATTTTGATCCTTGAATACTTGAATGACGTAAGGTTTTGTTCCCTGGATCAATTTTTTAGTTTGAAACAATCCGCATACCAAAATGGTATCTCATTAGAAGGGCATATATCGAAGTTATCAATCGAGTCAAGTACAAAACAATATTGTACATTAACTATTTACATTTTAATATTATAACCATCGACGAGATACACATTTTACATTTATATGTTTTTTTTTAATTTTATAAATACCTTGTACTTGGTTCAATATAAAAGCAAGTAATCCAATATAATAATATATCCTCGGTATTATCATTTTCGTTGTTTCTAATATCGCAGGAGATGTCCTTATGTCACGCCTTGATATATTAAATGACTTAAAAGCTCAAACATTCGGGATATAAAGTATTTCATTTCATCTACCTTAAGGCCGGCAAGGGACTTTACTTACATAGAAAACCTTAACTCCAATCAAGATAACAGCACGCTCTTAAACATGTTTACGTCATAGGTTATACGTATAAACTGAATGATCAAGAAAATTTGCACTTTTTTTTCAACTATAAGATACATTCCATCCGACAGCACTTATGTGAAATCATCTTTCAATTTTAGTATATTTACGTTACGTTTTAGTACTCACCGTATGTTATATATTTTAAGCCCCAGGCTTCGAAGCTACCTTATGATCTTCTGTAAAAATATACTGTATTCTTTTAATAAATTATATCCCCCGGGGCCTGGTGATTGTTTTAATGTTGTGATGATATAATTCATAGGTTTGTTTTGTTACACATATCATAGATAATGTAATACAAAAGATAAGGTAAAGAATGTGAACCCTGTATTTATCCTGCTTTACACATTACAAATTTAGTAAATCATAATGTTTCGTTATATAACCCCGTTTCATCTGAACTATTTTGTGAATATTCAGTGTTCGTAATAGAATTCTTCAATTTTTCAAATAGAAATAGACCGTGATCGTCAATCCGGTTCTAAATGTAACCACACGCTGTGATAAATGCAGATACAAAAGTTTTACTTAAAATAGCTACATAAAGTTGTTTACAAGCCATGTATACTAGTTATCTCGGTACTGCGAAGACCTCATCGTGATTTGTCAAAACCATGTCCTTTCAGTAAAGCTAGTCAACCAAAATCACTGCGTCATTCATGTAGATGTAAATTAAGATTAATTGAATGTCCTTTAACTAATAGATCACAAAAACACTTCTAATATCTCAAGGCTTATAGTACATGTATCTTATGTGATTTGTTTGAGTAACTGTACAATATGGCAATAAAAGCTTATATTATCATATATTATATTTCACAACTATCTTAAGAAATAGGTTATGAAAAGGATCTTTCCATCTCTTATTTAAAGTAAAACAAAATATTGTAAGACTTTTTCAAACAAGGATGAATTTTATTTCACTGAATATCTATCACGCAATTTCCAAGAAATCATCATTTTACACCTTTCTGCGAAAGATCTGTGAAACTCGTGGTCGCATTATATCGATTGATGAGATGAGAATGCTTAACAAATTTTTACTTCATCTAGTTAAAACCATTGTTAATATCAATCTCATCTAATGTGACGGTTATTTATAAAAAAGGTGATTCAGTTTAATGTAGTAACTGAAGACCTGTATCTTTATTTAGCATCATCAAATTTTTTAAATGTATTTACAAGCATGTCTCTAACTTCATGTGAGCAAATGCTATAATTACTAGTCTACAAAGCGGTTTTCTGCACGATGATTCAACTGTCTATCAACTAATACTTACGTACTTCTTTTGTCAAGCCACTTTTGGTGCAGCTAGAATTAGAAGAAACTTACTAGCATGGTTTAGAAATTATTTATCTGATAGAAAAAAAGTTGTAAGAGTCTCCTCTGATCCCAGAACTGTACTAGCTGGTGTTCCGCAGGGCTCAGTCCTTGGCCCTCTATTGTTTTTGATTTATCTAAATGATATTGATAATAAGATCCAACATACGACTATTTGCAGTCGACACCAGTCTATATTTAAAAATTAGTGACCCAACAGCTATTGTCCTAAATGAAGATCTGGAAAAAAAACTCGCTGAGAACTGAAACAGTAGCACTGAATACTAAACAAAATCCAGTTTTACCCAGATTGAAATAAGACAAAGTGTCAATTAAGGAAGATAATTTTCATAAACATCTGACTTTTGAAATAAACTGACAGTGGGATAAGCATACAAATGAGACTTTAACCAAAACTGGAAGGGTTGTTAACTGTCTCAGTACTAGGAAATCAAACCATGTATTCTCAATTTATCTTGCCTATTTTCGATAATTGTGACGTTATATGGGATGGATGCACTGCAAAACTAAAAGACTTCAGTTAGACGCACTCGGAGCTTTCACTTTAACCTCTAGCGATCTCGAGCGAGGATATTTGGCAGAGTAGAATCCGACCCTTTCCCGTTAGTATCCGAAAACCCCCGTATGCAGCCGACATCCGTGCTGACGCGAGCCAAATTATTTTATTTTTTGACTATAAAATCTTTTAAAGCAACTCTCAAATCAAATGACATTCTGTTACCCATTTCTTATTTCTTTGGCACTTGCAAAAATCAAACTACACTGTTCGATACATTCAGATGGACGAAAATCTACTCTCTATCTTTTACAACCTACTGATCTATGAATTAGTACTCTTTTATTTCTAACACCTTGTCAAAATTCATCATTTTCATCAATTCATTCATTTAGGCAAAAGATTCTGCGGTGCATAGATTTTTAACCAATGTCAACCACACTGTGATTTAGACATCTTTCTGTAAATATGATCAGTTTTATTTTTTGTATATATCGTGTTATTTCATTTTTACTCAGGAGAGGGTTAATATAGGCGATAGCCTGATCCCTAATCCCTTCCATTTTTTATATGAATCAAATATTGTTTACAAAAAATGAATCTTATCAAACAGCTTATAAATCAACATACCAAGTATCAAATTAATGAGATAAAAAAATAAGGTGTATCAAAGGCAATAACTCTAATGAGAAATTATCGAAGTTTGAATGAACGTATTACGTTTCATCAAAATCAGATGAAAATATTAGCTTATATCATACATAAAATGTTCGCGGACGGACAAAATCATATTGTGCATAATTCTATTCAATGGCAATTAATTAAAATCAGAACCCTAGCGCAAGTCATATGACAGACAGCATCTACACCTGCAATCCGAACAATTAGAGAAAATATTAATGGGAGGCAACTCGAAAACAGAAAATTCTGACATTGTTGGTTTGAGGCTTAATTTTTACCTGGATCGGTGTTCCGACCTGTTTCGAAAGTTTACTTTGACTACGATAACTATTTCCAAATCCTTATTGTGTATGTCCATATTTTATGTGCCAAATTTTTCTTATGTGTTAATCCTGTACCCCATATTTCCGAATTGCGATTCGTATAAGAATATCAGTGTGATTAAAATGATAATAATGCATTGAAATCATCCAGCAGAATTTAGAATCTGTGTGTGTTCCTTCTAGATAAATATCAAATAATAACAAGTTGTGTCAATCAAATATCTAAAACAATAGATGTTAGTTGACTATCAAGTCATATTACTATGAAAATAAATCAGTTAAATAATAGTTCCGACTTCAGTATCGCCAGACTGGACACTCGATTCTGGACATTTAATGTTGTACACACAGAATCTGTAAAAGGCACTGCTTGCAAAATGTATGTACTAAAAGGTAACTTATAGTTGAATAGTAGATTACAAGTGTGATTTTTTGAAAAAGGAATAATGCAGTTCCCCTGAGTGGCCTCAGAGTTTCAATTGCTCATGTCGATATTATACCCCAGAGTTTCGTCATCTTTCCCGTTTGAATAATAAATTTACTTCAAGACCAATTGCATTCATCAAGAACGCAATTCTTTATAGGTTGCAAATTAAATTGCTATACTCTATTCGTATAGAATGCGTTGGATGTTAAAAGTCAGACCTAGGTAGAGCATTGGCAAGGACATTGTTTGGTTGGCGTATAGATGAGTAAATGAAACTGACTCGCACATTTTTGAAGTAAAAACTCTCCTCAAATTCTATAATGTCATATTTTAATCGAAGAAACGGCTGTTAATTAGTGGTGTCTCCACTTTTTAATGTTAGTTGGTAGGCCTACATCCCATAGCGTGAAACTCTGATTAACAAAATGCTTCATGTTGTTGAAATATTTCTAATGTTACTCTTAAACAGATTTGACCTTCTTAACTTATTACACATATCTTTTCCAATCCAAAGGATAAACAACATGATTGTTATAAGCCACATGAATTATCCAAATGGATTGATGGGTTTACAATACCAGTCACAGAGTGACATCATGTTATATTGAATTTATTATGGATTTCTAACATTTACACTTATTTTGATAATCGCGAAATGCTTTAATTCGATTTCTAAATAGAGCTCAAAGAATTTAAATGCACCTGGATTCTTATGACGATGTTTTTGTTGACAACATACCTAAACTACTAGCATTGTTTATTGTCTTGATTGTTTACTTGTACACTGTCTATTTGATATCAATTAATCAGATTCTTCTTTTGTTCACTTGAGGCTCCTCTCTTGCTTAGGGTGAACCATACTATGCTGTTTATACTTCTTCGGGAATAATTGTCATAAAGTCTTCCTATAATGTTTCATGTATCCAAAGTTTAATTTGACAAAAGGTTTAACGTGAATTGAAACGCCATCATGCCTTGTCGGTAACATGCCCATCGTCGGACAGAAATGGGGTCAGAATAGGGTAAAAAATATGTTTTTCAGTTTAATATTTTCCGTTAATTCATTCCAACAATGACTCAAAATGTTAATATCGTTGCTTTGTCTGTTATAATATTGCTCAGTTGATGTCGAAAATTGGAAACATGTACTAGCTCTGACATTATATTACATTCAACATCTCGTTAAAAACCAGGGTTGTCTAATCTGAAGAAAACACATTATGCTGGCTTCTGATGACACGAAACGACATAACCGCTAGAATTTCGAAGGTTTCTTTTTACCAAAAAAGCTTAACCTCTTTCTTTCCTTTACTCGTTAAATGTTTCAAATTTTTGGCAGTGTGAGTAAAAGATTTCCACCATGTCAAGTATCTCAAGATATCTGTTAAATATTGTCAACCAGGAAACTGTTTTTGTCCGATTTGGAGAACAGCCAACTTTTGTTTTGGTGTTTGCCTGAAATATATTCACAAGAGGTTTTTGGAACCAACATTGCCTAAATAATGTAAATGAAAGCTTAATTAAAAAAACAAAAATTAAATACACGAAACAAAAAGCTCACATACGACATATGCCAAGAGTATTCATATTAACCATAAGCACAGGCTCAAGTCAACTGTACTGATAACGGATGTATTCGAAACACATGTCGTCAGCAACCATGTGCTATTCCTATTGCTATATAACATAAAACATTTTTTTCATAGCTTAACACAAACATAAATAACATGTATCAAACAACATTACGTCGGTGCGTCTGGAGGTGCTGGTAGACATGCCTGTCATTTTAATTTTGGTCAATCGTCTTCAAGCTATCTACAGTTCTCAAAAGAAAGGATGCTGCAATCTGATGCAGTACGGATGCTGCAGCATTATGCTCATCTTATCCGGTACCATCCTGATATTAGAATTCATCTCCAACCAATAATAATAATGATATCAAGCAGATATCAAAAAGAGGAGTCCGGTATCAATTTTAATTGTGGCGAACGAACTGAGTGTCGCCAGGTATACAGCAAACAAGTAGACGAATGATTTGTTTTGGCCCAGCTTCATAAACAACCACAGAGTGTGTTCTTCCTAATTTAAATATTGACTCGATTTTTGAAGTCCGGTGTTGAGGTATCTAAAGTAAGGTATTGTTATTCTGTATTTGGAAGAGGAGAGAGTTGTTTTTCAAAGAAGCTCTCCACCATGAATTGTATTTTCTATTTCTTACTTACGTTCTGCTTCATTAAAGGTAAGTCTAAGGATTTTTATGCAAATTTCTTGATACAAAAACCTCAGAAAACCGAAAACTTAAGACAAATAACATGTAGGGAAATCCTTCTCTTTTGAATAATGTGAAGATGACATTTTCGATGAATTTTGGCTTACGTTAGTCATTACTTAAAAAACGGACATCAGTTTAAAATTCACAATACCTTTTCAATGTGATTGTATTGCTTATCTGAACTACATTAATGTTCAATTTCAGATGTGCAATTTCTGAGAATTGATTTCTTTCTTGAATATATGTTAATACTCTTCAGAAATACTAGAAATGTACGAAAATATCTCAAACTATGTAGCAGTAACAGGCGACTCGTCTTTTTAATTTTCAAATGCGGATAATTCTGGACACACATAGATTTGAAGGCTCAAATTCCGACGGTGAGCTGTGAGCAATATTACTGATTGGCTTAACTAAAAAAATTCCCGTTTCGAGACTTGTCGTATGTTTGGGAATAAAAATGGTGCACCTGTCCCATAAAGATTAACACGACGGGACATATTTTGCATCTAGCATAATACCGAACTTGCACGCCATAAATTTGATTTATTTTTTCTCTGTTGTCAATTTACAGCATCGGCAAATTATATATTTTAAGGCAACTTGCATCTTACATAGATACGTATACACTATGCACTAAAGCTTCGGAAAAGCATTCATGGAACATATTCTAGCTTAAAACATACAATATAAAGTAACAGCAGAGATAGTTATGAAATCAAAATATGAATCATTCCTTGGCAGAACTTCCGTTATGTTAATACCTTTGGCACTCGGACTAAAATCTCTCTTGCTGTATAAACTCACATCAAAATGAAATGTTTAGAAACACCGATTGGTCACTGGTTATCAAACAAACAAGGATTATACAAATGACCAATGCCATAAATCTTATGTTGACCACATTGGATTTTAAGCTTATTTCTACAGTCTTAAAGTAGATTTATATTGGACAAACGATGGCTGTTAGAAAGTACACAGATATTAACACTAAATTTTCACTCAGTTTACGAGTCAGAAGTCAAGATCTAATATAAAGTAGAGCAGTTTTAAATCAATACTGCAAAAGATACTGAAATTCTTATAGGGGCTGTAAAGGAGCTTTTATGTGTTTCGGGGATACTGAAAGCATCAATTTGCACCATTCCGATTTTCAACACAAGTGGTTCATACAATTCCACAGATTCTAAGTGCTATATGACGTCACTAATCACGAAGTGCCTTATGTGATAAAGCATGTTTTGCAATTAGTGACGTCATCAAACACTAAGTATTACTGGAATTGCAGGAACCACAAACATTTGATTGAAAATTGGCATGGTTAACTTGATGCTTTCAGTGTCTCTGATACACATACAAAATTTAGAAAAGCTCTTTACAATCCATTTAATGGGTGTTTGGGAAAACCATTGATTTACACTAGGTTGGTTGGAAGTTCTAAAAATATTTCTAATTTCTTATCCTCTAACAGTTTACTTGCTGTTCTGTGAAACGACATTTATTTGGTGCATTTAGACTTTAAGGTTTGTTTAGACACCTTTTTGACCTTTTTTATGGAGATAAACTGTATGGTTCAAATTGGCAATATAAAATCATAGAATAAACTCATGTCATATAATAGAGCAATCTTGACGTCAACATGTATTCTATTTTGATCAAGAAAGATTTTTATACTCGAAAAAATCCTTGTTCAGCCAACAAACATTACCGCGAAGAGAGGATACTGTATATTTGTGACATTTTTATCAGTGTAACCCCGAACGCCACATAATATGCCACATTCCTGATCAGAAATAAACATTGTGTTTGAATTTGATTACAAATAGAGGAGTATGCTAAAAAAAACTTTAGGATTGATCCAAAATTCTGAATGTTTAAATGATATGATCATAGAAATAACAATTATATGAAAATACATAATTAAAAAATGTACATGAGCTTTTTTCTTTTTGCTAATTGGCTAACTTTCAACAAGATAAATTTTGATATTATTTCAAGTCGATTTCTCCTCTTGTCCAAGTCCGTTTTTCAGATGGTATGGTATCTGTTTCAGTATCCGATGGTGTCATGTGTTATTGGTGTAGTGGAGTTGGTGATGATCGAGAATGTGAACAACATCCTTACGCTGTACAAACTGGACCTGTGTTCCTTAACTGCCGAGCCCACTTCTGTCTTTCTGTGAAAGTTATTGATGCTGGTAAGCTACTGTTTTATGTTCCTTGACCCTAAAAATCCAAATAGACTGATTGTATGAAATGTTTACCAACAGAATGTACAACATCTATAAAATAATGTGTGTATGAATGCCTATCGAAATATCACGAAATATTATTAGGCCTATTCAGTTTCAATCTAGTAGTAATGAAATATCAATAGCATTGTTTTTATTCTACTTTCAGATTCTGGTACTGTCAAGTCTTTTGCCAGATTGTGCGATAACGTACCACGTGATAATGTGTGTATCCAGGATTCCAAGCTATTGACATGTTACGAATCTTGTACTGATGATTTATGTAACAATGGAAACCCTGATCCTGAATTTTTACCTATCACAAACTACGCATCAGAGGCATCAAAACATTCTAAGGGAAATAAAACGAATAAGATCACAAATGGGGGTTTAAAAGGAAATATATTTGAGCAGTATGGTATTTCTAAAACAGGACGAAGCTCATCTCTGATGAAGAACAAAGAACATTTATCAGCGATGGAAACTGCTCGTAAAAGACTACTGTCTAATGCCGTCCGAGGATCGAAAGATGATCATAGCCTACCACGTTCACCAGAAAGGCAAATGCGTTTACCCCTCTCACGAAAGAAGCCCCAAATTGTAACAGAAGCAACCCTTAATACGACGAAAGTCAGTGTTCAATATATCACTGACACAAAATACAGAGCCACACTTAAACCATCCCTAACTCCAGTCGCGAATGGCAGTAGGGTTACGACGTTATCTCCGACGTCCACGAAGATTTCGGGGCTCACGTCTCAGATGACCCCAATTACCACGTTGGCAATAGCTGAATCAACGAACAGTTTGCAACCAAGTGTTTCGCAGTTTGACGAAATAAAACAGACTACTATTTCAGACTTTCCATTTGCCTCAAGCCCAAAGATGGCTAAGGTCAATGATATTCATTACAAAGCATCAACTTCCGAAGATAGCGGGAAAAATTCGGCAACATTCAATCCAAATGAATACACGTTTGGCGCGTCAAACCCAAGTGGATCCTCTCGTGGTTTAACACTTAAACCATCATGGATCAGAAAGTCAACACCCAAACGAATCACGGTTCGCATGACAACCTTCAAGGCCGATGTATCTTCAAAAATGATAAGGGAAAAAATTACCAAAACCACAATTCGCACGCCTAAGAAAGTCGAGATAACACAAATCATCAAACCTCAAACAAATGAAAAGCTGACGAAAGAACTCAATTTGAAACATCCTCTCAAATCTTTAATAATGCCTAACAATGTTGCTAATCTCGAAAAACCAGTGACGGCAATAGACGCAAACAGTTACGCCGAACTTCACGGACTGGAAGAAACTGAAGGGCCAGAAAACACTTTTGCGTTCAATAGTCATCCACGAAACCCTAATCTACCGAAGCATAAACATAGGATCGGACACTCCAAGAAAATTGAAAGTTCCAATGGCATTGTTATTTGGCCAATGAAAGAATCCACACGTGAAGAAGACATATCAAATTCTATATTCTCCGAGGATAAAGAAGAAGCCATTATTGAGCCTTACCGTGGAAACTCCACTTCTCTTAAGCCAAACGGTGACGATGAATCCAAAACTCCTGACAACAACAAAAAGACCAACAATATTAATGATAGTGCTAATCAAGATGATGACAAACTGACACCTATAACCCCTATTACTACTGGAGCAACTTCTAAAACTAGCACAATCAATACAGTTTCTTTGCCAATTGAAACAAGTAAGGATAACAATCTGTCAGATCATATTAAAACTGTTTTAAACCGGAAAACCCCAATAAAGATTTCTCTAAAAGGAAAGTTGAAGAACATATCCAATAAAATAAACACCACGACTTCCAGCTCATCTCTTGGCAAATCCACTCGTCTGTATGCTTCTAAGCTGGCCGAAGTGTGGAATGAAGAAAAAACTACTGTGATCGTTGACAAACACGATGACCTGCCGATACCGCCTGAATATTCTTCCTTCTTTGAAGATGACGAACTCATTGAATATCCAGTGTTTGAAAATGAAGTGAGTAGCTTCAAAGACACAACAGAGGACCAGCTACATGTTGCTAGCTACCAAGACGAGAGTGATTCTTCGTCAAAGCGTCCAAGCATCGCTTTATTGTTTGTGATACATGTATTGACTTTACTGTGTTTATATTTTCTATCGTAAAGATTTGAGACACTTCGACAGTAATAATAGTGTGTATTGAGTGTACAGTGCACATGTAACCGGGTTTAGTGGAATAAAGATACAGAACGTGTTTATAGTGTATATAACGATGAAAATGATTAATCACCACTTTGAGACCAGCATACAACTGATGTAATGAGGATGGACGTTATGGGAAGAGGATTGGAGTAGCTCCAGCAGAAAAAAGCTTTACGTAAATTTTAACATTTACTAGGGTTTAGGGTTGAGTGTGAAAGTAGTGTGCTTTACAATAGTGTAGATACTAGTAGGTCTGGTGGTTATTATTTAGTGTACGATTCTTAATTGAAACATTAATACGTGCTTCGAGCTTCAGTAAGTACAATAATTTCACTAATGAAAAGGCGGATTTTTAAATGTGCTTTAGATATCGTGCCCTGGTATGTTGTTTTTATTACCTTTAATCCGAGTTAGGCTACAAATCTAGAACAGAGAAAGCATAAGGAATCCATGTACCAGTACAATTGCTTTATTGACATCATGCTTGCTATGGGTTGGTATTACAGACGTGGTTTGTATTTTAGTGAAAATTATATGCTATAGGTCAGTCGCCATATTGCCTTTGTAAGTTAACTATCGGCATTCTTGTTCACAAGAATGTGGTATCAGAGAAAACTCACATTTGAAGGTAGACTTATTTTGGACCGTCTTCGCAATGTCAAGCTATTACGAACTGTGTCTTATACCTTGACTGCAATAGCCGCTATTGTTATACGACAGAGAATACAACCAACCATAGCCCTCGACAAACAGACTGTGAATATTATTGCTCATTGTTTACTGACTTTCTGTCGAGGACTCTGATTGGCTGTATTCGCCAACGTACAATCCAATCAAATCGCTGTAATTTCTGTTTCCATGATACAAGAAAGGTTGCTATTGCAGTCAAGTACAAAGTTTGTAATAGCTCGGCACTGTGAAGATGATTTTGGACAATTCTGTAAGTATTGTAAAATTGCAAACTTAATATTTTTATAGACTTAGATCGATACAACACAGCGCCTTCCTGGTATTAAAGTATGAAGTAAATTTGAATCTATAAGGATTTTATCTACACGTTATTAGTCATACTGTTATCACTATGTGTTCGGAATTACTGGTATAGTAATTAGAATAGTTAGCCTACATTATACACTTTGCTGGTGTATTCATTGTAAATAGATTTACATATTAGATATTATATTACTTTTCTATGGAAGTGGGGCCAAACATAGATTGTATTTATTGTAAATATTGTAAATGGATGGATAGTTTATCGATGTGGTTTAGGATTATTGCTTTTCATGACGATGCTAAGCCTTTTTATTAGGTATAAAGGTACCGACTTAAAAACACGAAACAAAGTCTGCAAAAACATCACCTTTAAATGGACGGAATCTTACGTTGGATACGGACGGCAAAATCCGAAATACTGTGTTTAAAATTGTACTTTTCTGTGCAACAGATTCAAAGAAAACTTCTAACTCAGTAACCGTTTGATAAAACATGTCCCGTTCAATAGAAGTGTTTAACAAAAGGTACATATTTCATCAAGTCTCAAGTTCTCACTGGAAAGCAAAAACAAAAAGTGAATATCTAATAGTGGTATTTAAAACCTTAGGTTGCCCTGTATCTCCACCTCGGTACATACATGAAATTAACTCTATATAGTTCTCTCTGTCGAAAGCCCGCATGGTAACATTCCTTCTGTTCATTTCAAAATACAGCTTTGAATATTATTATGCATTCCCGTTTTTCAGGGAAATAAAATATATGTTGGGAATAGGAATTAACAAATCTCTTTTTCAGAAGGTCACAACACTTTACTATCATGTATTATGGTCGTCTTATTCATCTGTTAATGAGTCGATTTTAGGATTAACATAGTCCAAGCCATACTAACTGAACGATGCCAAAAACTACTCTAATCTAAAGCTTGCTTTGTCGAAATCGTGTGGTATATTTAAACCGAAAGAAGCACGGAGGTTTCTCGAGGCCATAATAAACGGTCGCCTCAGCAATTCGCAACAGTCCAATTCCCCGTGTTAGAATTGATAACCTAATTTTGTTTCAGGTCTTACAGATTGTTTTGTAATTTTTTTGTATATTTTGTAAATATTACATTTTTACGTGTACATGTATTTTATCTAATAAATTATATACGGAACTTTGATCTAAAAAGTATGGAATAGTCTAATTTTTTTTTTATATTCACATGCAGGATATTGCAACTGTGTGCTACTGGGGCGTTAACTAAAAATTATACATAATTGATAGAAAGCCAGGCAAGGTAATATATGCCCACTGGCAGCTTTGTTGTTAAATAAAAGTATTTGGCAGTACAGTGTAGCAATCACTAGCATGAAATATTCAACCTTTACAACTTTTCCAAACTTTTTTGACTTTCAAAAGTGATGATTAATAATTTCGTCCAGATCTGTCACGATTTATGTTTATAAGTGTTTACAAATTAGAAATCAAACACTTTTTGGAAATGATGGACAATAACAATAAATATATTTCTTGATAAAATAAATTCTTCAGTACTATAAAGGCTTTCAAGCAAGAAACTTAGATATTCTGTGCAAAAAGTTGAAATGATAACAAAGACTGTAGTTGCTTTAATAATGAATCTTCAAATAATCTTTAAAACATTTATAAGTCAAGGCAAAACCTCAAAAAACGATAAAACAATTACTTCGAAACATTCATGCGCTTATTAGCAATTTCAAACTTGACTGAGATCTTGTCCTTATATACATGCATACCAAGTTTCATTAAAATCGGATAAAAACTGGAGTCTCTATTGTGCCTTCAAGTCAAATTTGATGCGTTTTACTAAGTCAAGGGCAATAACTCAATAACTGTTACTTTACTGAGTTTCATCAATAATAGGATAAAAACTGTATTCTCTATCGTGCCTACAAACCAAATTTGACGCATTGTATTAAGTCAATGGCAATAACTTCGAAACCATTCCTCCAATTATTACCAATTTCGACTTGACTTAGATCTTGTCCATACATTCAGGGATACCAAGTTTCATTAAGATCGGATAAAACTGTGTTTTACTAATGCAAGGGCAATAACTCTGAAATCGTTCCTCCAATCATTATCAATTTCGAACCAATAATAAACATGCATACCAAGTTTCATCAGTTCAAAGCCTCTATCGTGTATACAATAAATGTGGAGGAACAGACAGCCAACCTGACGGACGGGCGGACGGTCGGAGGCGACGGCAATATACGTGCGTATAAAAACGTATAAAAACTGTTCATCGAATAATCGTCAAATTCAAACTAGACCAAGATCTCATCAATATAAATGATCACCCCAAATTTCATATAAATCTGATGAAAACTGTTGTCTCTATTGGGTTCACACACAAATTTTGACAAGTTATTTCTTAGTCGTGGGCAATAACTAAAAAACGGTTCATCGAAAAAATGTCAACTTAGAATCAGTCCAAGATCTCATCAATATAAATGATCACACTAAATTTCATTTAAATCAGATGAAAAGTGTAGTCAACGAGAAATGTTGACGACCGACATACAGGGGAGATGGCAATATACGTCCACATTTCAATGTGGGCGTATAAAAGGCAACAAGAAAAATACTTTATTAAAACAGTAATAAAAGTGAAGTGTTCTGAAAACAGTTTCATTAAGGGTTCCTTTAAAGACCACAACCCTTATAGGAACTCTTTGTGGTGTCATTTATTAAGGGAAGTAAGTAAGATATTCAAATTATAATATAAAATCTGGAGAAATGAAATGACTGTAGTTTTACCTCCTACTTTTTTCCACCTTATGCAAAATCTGGAGAAAGCCATAAGAAATTTGGGTTTTAATAAAAAGCAATGATCAATGTATCAATTTTTATTAGATCAACAAAATCTATTATTTTACGAAAAAAAAAAAACTTGTGGAAAGTATACAAAACCATACATCAATTAGTATTATAACATTCACCATTATCACAATTCTATTTTACATATACCTGTTGAAATCATTGTTAAATCTTACCTTACAGTCACAGAGTTTAAAGTGGAAACTTGAATTAAGCTTCAGTTTACATCATTGTTCTTCAATGGTTTATGAGAAAGTTGGTCACTGTATCATTGATTCAACTAGATTATTAGCACTGATATTAAACTTTTGCCCCTCTAGTTTAATTCAAAAAGTCTGTTACAAATATGATAGGGATAGCTATTACAACCTCCAACAAAACAACCCATGTGCAATATTTAATTTCGATGAGTTCATGCATTGAGCTAAATTTTCTGCCAATTGAATCAACGGAAGAGAATTTCATCTAATTCCCATTGAGCTTTTCTTCTCACTATATAATTTGGCGAACACTTTTAACCAGAAAACACCCTTTACAAATATATTATATAACTAATAAATAAATAATACAACTTCCTTTAACTGAAAGAAAGTAACTCTTATCAAAAGAAAAAAATAGTTAGTTCAAATATCTATTGGCAAAATCATAAAAAAAAAACCTATAGCTAATAGGTATGCAAAATAACAAACTAAATAGAATTATATGACACTGAAAGAAAAAAGCTTTTTTTAATCTTCTCATATATTTTTTTCTTTTTTTCATAACATTTAAATTTTACTATCAAAATAAGGTCACCACACAGACTTTTTATAAAAAAACATATGAAATGAGGTTGTCAATTTAAGTTGCTTTTTTGAGCAATTACATAGGTATCATTCTACTGTGTGCGGCTACATATTTCAAATAAGCTGTTTCTACATCCAATAAATTTGAATGAATTCAAAGACATAACTCCAGTGTTCTTAACATAGCAAATGTTAAATGGTACTAGGTATAGCTAGTTTAAAAGACAATATTTGACTGTAAGTTTAGATGTTTATCAATTGATGTGTTAGAACAATGTCACAAGATATTGCAATGTGTAGGAAATTCTATATATACACCTTTCTTGGAGAAAAAACAGATATTTCAGAACATATTACTCAATGAATTTACCCAGGTACTGAAACAAAGTTGTGTTCCAGATAAGTGAAAACATAAATTAGTTTGCTTGGATTCACTTTATAAAAAAGTCTAAGAAGCCAGTTTAGTTATACGTTTGTAATATTTAATACTAAAGTAAAATCTTTTACACCATTCACTAGACACACTCTATAGTTGATTTTAAACCAAACTTTAAATAAATTAAAACATTTACACATTGAAGAAATAGGGCTGGAAAGTTTATATTTTACACATGCACATCCTGTCTCACTTGCATTTCAAAACTTTTTAACAACATATTCACAGAATATGACACCTGGAATTAGTATACCGCTGTACATTATTCAATAAATAAATAAAAGGAAACCGTTATATTTAATAACTTGACACAACTTTCAATCACCATCAATACATTTTTATGTCCCTCATTTAGATTTCTTTGAGTTTTGACAAAATTCCACACTTATAGGTTTTCCGCCTAAAGTAGTTTGATGAAGTCGAAGAGCAATCTGAAATAGAAATTGATGTTCAGAAATGAACTAGTACATAGAAGTAAAATAATCGTAATTAGTAAACAGTTGATGGGATTGATATAGATACTTAAGCCTCTGTATTTGTCCCAGACTTACAGCCTATACACGTACTTGCATTATTTTAACACAAATGGCTCAAGTAAATCTGTAAAGACTTGACCAGATCACTATCGGAAAGAATCTTTCTTGGTTTAAATGACGTAATTAACATAGTGACATCACAATCTGATCCAGTTTTCTATAGTTGACAAGAATGACAAACATTCACAATGAAATGAAATGACTAAATGTGTCCCTGATACACATCCAAAGGCTAGAAAACCTCTATGTCTACATGCATGTGTCATTATCATTCTTACACATACACAAATCATAAAATTTTAAAAAGCCTACATGAATAGGCTGAGGTAGGGAAACTTACTTTCTCCAGCAAAATACATGATAATAATTAAGTAATAATATGAAAAATGTCTTAACAAAGATGATGTTTAGAATTGAAAGAAAACTCACTCCATGGCTTATTCTGGATTTAAAATCCATGTATGCTATTCCCTTACCAATATTCTGGCCTTTTTCTTTGGGTATCTGAATGCTTTTAACTCCACCTGAAAAGTATAAATTTAAAATTTATTATAGAAGTGATCAAAGATAACAGTTGTGATCAGAATCTGGGGATGAAAATATCATTGTCAGGGTAACTAAGAGGCCAACTTTTAACTTGTCATTGTGTTCAAGATGATTCAGTCATGTTAGTTTGATTCTCAGCATCTATGCTATAAAGAACCCATTATTTAATCATGATAAAAATTTATCGAAACAGTACCTGTCTTCCTGAAATGTTCTTGTAATTGTTCTTTCGTCACATCTAAAGCTAAATTTTTTATCAGAACTTGTAAATGGTTTCTAGTATGATTATAATTGTTGTTGACACTATTTTTATTGGGGGACACACAATGCTGTTTAGCCTTTAAAGGATTGTTTCCATTGTTGTTTTTTACACGTTTCGCACCTGGTGGTAATTTAGTTTTCACAATATGTAATACAGTTGGTTTATCACCCTGTCGAATCTGTAATTCAACTTTGGAAGGTTCTAGAGCTGGAGGTGCAAAGGTTGGCTTCGAGATTCGTCCTGAAATAAAAGAAATTTAAATAACTTAACTTGGGAACCTCATAAATTGTTTGTGTTTGGCCATTGCACTTCTAATTACAAACGCTAATTTGTATACTGCATAGGATAAATTTAGGGTAATAGGTGAACTAGGGTCCCTGTATTGCAAGAGCAATAATGAGCAAAAGCATACCAGAGGTTCGTCTTCCAGTTCTGTCCTTTTGTTTCTCCCACCAATCTGCAGTTCTTTTTGTTCTTCCATTACTTGGTCTAAGCTCAGTTTGATCTTCCATGTTTACCTAGAATAGAGATCATAAAAAAAATTGTACAAAAAGTCTTGGCTCTAAAATCTGAAACATTTATAAAAAAAAAAGGTACAAATCTAGGTTTTCACCTAAAATGTGGTATTATAGTTACATTTTAGGATCTTTTTTACTGAAGACTGAAGGGGTAATAGGTGACTACGTGTATATCAGAAATAGCTAAATGAGGAAGTCACAGGGGCGTTTGAACGAGTACATACTCCATATTGAATTCCACACCCGATTCAGGTATATACGCCTTCTGATGTAGCCTAATTAAAATACCCCGACCTGCTCATTAGCTACCTGAAGCAAAATTTCGCTAAGCCTTCCTAAGGAATGTGCAGAGAATGTTTCTCGGAACCAAATCGTGCATAGTGATAAGCTCTTTCAGTATTTATATACCTATCACTTCAAATTGTGCTTGGATATATAATTTGATATTTATCAGAATTTTAGGGTAAATATTTTACATCTAATTCCCATACTTTTTAAATCCAGTTTCATTCTAGAGGAGTACGAAAAATAGAATAAAAAATTATACCACAATATCATAAAGGTTTTTTTCCTTTCAGCCTGTGAATACGTGCGAATTGGAAGGTTTGCTATGGCCCGAAAATGCAAGGCCCGTAACCGGTAAATCACAACAAAGCTATGTCCAAAAATTATTGGAAACACTGCAGTAGATAATACAAAGCCTTATAAAGTGTAACTCTTTATCAAAATATATTACCATATTAAAACTTCATATGTTCAAAGGTCAGGAAAATCCCCAGAATGTCGGATACTGGAATATTTGAAGTATGAAGACAGTCGTTCTATAAATAACAAATTGACCTAAACACGTCCCTTTTCAAACTACTAACGCCACCTAGAAACACAATACAGAAAAATCCATGACAAGCAGACGAAACTTTCCCTTTCAAACGCGTAGGACCTATTGAAAAGGATTTCTGCATATTTAGATGTAAAGGCCCACACTAACGAAGGATCTAAAATATTTGAAAGTCATCAGAAGGTCTTCAGTGCATTAATTGTGCTTGATAGCACGTCAAATATGACTGCATGCTGCCAGGCTATCATATTGAATTAAACTTTTACTCATTCAAGCATGAAAACGAGAGTCAACAAAAGACCCACACATAGCAGGGTGTATAAAAATCAAATTAATGGATATCTGATCAATGGTTGCAAGATAAAATCTGAAAGTCTGAAAATCTGCAGAATCAATTGCATTAACTTTCCAAGTTTGACATTATAGTCCTTGAATCAAGTATCGAATTCATCATAAATTAATCCAATAATTTACAGTTTATTTTGATTGTGATTGTAAAATATTGCAATAAACAAATAAATGCACATGTTCATAATTATTATGCTAACATAAAAGTTTCCCAATGTACTGTTGTTTTCCTCAAATGATTTATTCTCTTCGAAAATTCATTGAACTACGGAAGCTAAACATAATCACAGGCAGCTTAAAAACCCTGAAACCAATTGCCCAATTCAGCTAAATATAACTCACAAATGATCAATTATATGTTATACTCTGAACCCTTTTCAATCAGAATGGTATAGCCAACTGTTTCACATGAACCGAAAATATGTTAGCCAGAGCAACTGTTTACAGATAACTTTGAGATATAATAGTATACATATCAACTTTACAAACCAATAAAGCCCAATTTCAACTATCTGTATCAGTTTTCAGAATTGAAATCTAATACCAAGTTTCCCTACTATTCCACACTTATTGCTGTGTTGAGGTTTAGACATTTATCACTTTCAAGGTGATACTAATGATCACATATGACATTTTTAATCATAACTGCTCATGAGAGTATCAAAAATTATAATGTAATTGACATCAGTCAAAATTTTCACTTTAAGTGTCAAGGAAAGGTAAGCCAGAATTAATTTTGAAATAACAACAGATAGCTAAAATTGGTAAATTTCAAGGTTTTTGATTCATAGTTAAGGGAACAGACTATAAGATTTTCAAAATAACAACAAAAAGTTGAGAGTAATAACAAGATTATTTTATAATATAAATCTAGGTTAAATTTAAATGATATCAACATCCAAATAACATTTTATTGTTACAATTAAAACAAGTAGATCATTGTTTATAACTTCTTAAAGGTAGATCAAAGCAATGTTTTACATAGAAATAATGCTTTCAACTTAACAAATATAAATAATTAAGGATTTGAAATGTCACTCAACCAAAAATAAGTGCAATTTATTTTTTCAATTAGACCAGATATGACACATAAATATCGGCATTCTTTAGTTCATCTTCTGCAGTTAACTTTTCACTTCACACAAATGTCTACACAGATTTATCAATTTCTGTTGATACTGTGATTTTTTGGGGGTATTTTTCATTAGGAGTAATGCTTGTTTAAAAAAAATCTCCATTTGCTGTTAACTCAACTCAATATCAATACATCAAAAAATTTCATCTCTGCACACAATAGGACTTTAAAGAATATTTATTCACGACTTATAATTTATACATTCATAGTTTTTTTCAAAATATGGTTTCACAAACAAGACATTGCTTATACTAATCTGTTAAACAAAAAAATAGATCATACAATAAGAGTAGAAGAAGCAAATGAATAAAATATTAAATTGAAGCAACAATTTAGATCCCATGTAAAATAAAGAATCAGGCTTGGTACCACCTTCAGTAAAAGTATAAAGCAAACACAATAATTTAACTCTCAATTCATGATCATATAATACAACAAAAACTATACACATTTGTCTATCACAGCCAAAAACCACAGCCACAATAATATTACTCTAAATGTCTGTTTGCTTGTTGAGGATTGTGGGGTCGCAAGACAGTAAAAGTAGCAAAAACAAACAGAAAACTGATTCCTGCTAATGACAAAGTTGATGTAGCATTGAAATATTGTTTATAATTGAAGCGTAAATACCACAGAGCTCCAAGGATTAAACCAAAAATAGGAATCATGAAATTGCCAATGTTGATATCCTCATCTTGATTTGTATGTACTGTCTGTTGAGGTTGTATATTCTGGGTAACTAAACAATGTAAAACACTATTATCTACAACATTACATGACTGTAAGGTTGATGTTTCATTTCGTAAATCTTGTCCATTATATATTAATCTAACTAATTTCTGTTGAGCCAATTCATCGGGAAAATGCGTTCTGAAATAAATCAAAGTCAAAATGTTAGTTATAGTACTCGTGAAGGGCAAAAATAATTATATAATCATTTTATATAGAATTAAAATACCAAATTCTGTATTGCTCACAAAATTCGACATAAAAACTATCACCTTTAACATAATTTTGATAAAACCATTTACCATTTAGTAACCTTATTTTGCATTTGTTCTTAACTACTTATTTGGATTCATAAAAAGTATTTCTTTCAATATCTAAGCTAGCCATACAGTTACTTCAAATTACTGTATATAACTTTATTAGCATACCTTTTAAAATAACCAATTGTATCTAATGGTCTTGCGAAAACAAGTCTTTGGGTATCATTAAGATATTTCAATCTAACTCGTATTTGATTTTCACTTGTTGTCTCAGAATGAACAGAAGTTTCGGAAATTTCAGGACAATCTGTGGATCCTCCTTGTTGAGAGACTGATTGCACATCAGGATTTTCTTCCTGCACAGAACAAGTTGTCTGTAGATCTTGGTCTTTTGTGTTGTCAAAAAATGCAACTCCACGTTGTCTTAGTTCATTTTCAGCCACATAACCTGATAGGTTTTCACTTTGTACAACATTTGTGTCTGTTGTACAGGATGACTCAATATCAGTTTGCTGGGTTGTCCTTGAGTCTGAAGTGGACACAGTTGATGTTTCTTCCACTGTGTTAATCACCTGCTCTTCTCCATCATCATCATTTGAATCATCATCTTCTGATTCATCATCCTCATCTTCCAAAATTGCTCTGTCTAAACCAAGTGCTTCATTAACATTATCCAATGCAGAGCTTACCACATCTGTTAAAGAACGTCTGATATTTGTAGTAGGTGGGTCTTCATTGGTGTTTTCAGTATTCTCATCCTGATTAGAAGTAGTGGTGTTTTCTGCAACAGGACTTCTGTTTCCATTTCTCACTCTTTGAGATAATTCCACAACAATTACACTGAAGAATGGTATATCTGAAGTATGTGTAGAAAACCAGGCCAATAAACCAACTACCAAAATAACTAATAAACCAAATACTAGTGTAACTTCATCTCCTATGCCTTCAATAAGAGACATAACTTCTGTTGAGGTACCAACACTACCAGTTTTGATTAAGGAACCTTCTATATTTACCTAAAAAGTTAAAAACAAAAATTTCAATCATCGTTTCCTTTTTTTTCAAAGATATGAACATGATCATGAAATGTCACAAATTTAAAAACCATAGATCTTCATTATCAGAGGTTGAATTAGACCTAGAATATGAGGATATAGTTTTCAGAAGTACCAGGACTGTATCAAAATTCCTAGTACCTTCAAATAAACCTCAAACTGGGGATTTCACTATTTCTTTTATTTTCTTTCACCAGCAAGGGAGGGGGGGGGGGGGGTGATATATTATTCTCAGCCTTAATATTGGGGAACCGGTACCTGAAACTATTCATAAAATATATATAATATTATTATATATAATAATAAAGATGGTATTATGATAGATTCGTTTGCCAGTAAATGTATACTGGTTTTCACTGTTCTCACAAACTTCACTGAAACTGAGAAAGACATCATCAGTTTCACTTTCTTGGCAGTTCAGCAGTTTTCACAAATCACTCGTATGATCTTTTTGTAGAAATGTGGATTTAAAAAAACAAACCAAACATCTGCGAGGATAATATTAAAAAGATATCACAGTTTACTCACTTCCAATGCCCTTGTATCGTTAATATACTTTGCGTAGAACTGCCTTTAGTTTTCGTTTTAGGTCGACATTTTCCCGGAAGTTACACGCCGGTGTTTCTACTTCGTAGCAATCACGAGTATTTATGAAAAGTTACGTCCCTTTAGTTGCATGTTGTCAGTCATAGAGTTTATATCATGTAGATCATTCTGCCAATTCATGCCCATCTCAAAAGATCCAGAGGTGTGCCTCCTCTGTCAAGAGCCAGGATTTTATGAAAAGAAAGAAAGAAAATTGAACAAACTTTCTACAGGCATTATCCTTGGTAGTTTTGGTGCAGTAATTGGAGGAATTTATGTTATCACCTTCCCATTTGTCACTCCAGCGTTAAGAAAATTTTGTTTGCCTTTTGTTCCTGCTACACCAGTACAGATGAAACATGTCTTTTCAGCTCTAAAAGGAAGATCAGGAACCTTGATAGACATTGGTAGTGGAGATGGCAGAATAGTAAGTATTTACTGTGGAATAATGGAATACTTGAGGCTTCACAAGCTTATCAATGAAATTTATTATCAATGTAAAAAATAGAATTTTCAGTAATGACACTATTCAAATCTACCAGTTTAAAGTTGGTTAGTTGTAGGCTATTAGAATTAATTCATATTTCTTTTTTTATTTTCAGGTATTAGAAGCAGCCAGAAAAGGTTTTAAAGCTACTGGAGTTGAGTTAAATTTCTGGCTTATTTTATATTCAAAGTTCAAGGCTTGGAGACATGGATTCTCTTCCAATGCCAATTTTATCAAACAAGATCTTTGGAAGGTAGGTTCCATAGTCATGCTATAGTTAATATACAAGACTTTCATGCTTGTGTGTGGTTTTCATTAAATGAGATATACAGGTAAGTGTCAGAAAAGCTCTAGGACTGGTGTCATATTTATAAACGAGGTTTCCCTTTCGATCATACAAATAGATACTGAAGCTTTTGCCTTGTTCAGCGCTCGAGAAGAGCCATAACTGTGATAAGACAATTTGTGCAGTCATATTCACAAATCATTAAGCCTCTTCTCTATGCTCATCTGGGTCATCAAGGTTTTGAAGACAGGTAAAACATGAAAGCCGTGTCAACCGGCTGCAACTATTCACGAAATCTAATAGCCTCATTAGGCCTACCGGTATTAATCTTTTGCTAATGTTAAGACACATGTATTAATATTTCAGACTGATTTATCTAGGTATGACAATGTTGTGATATTTGGTGTAGAACAAATGGTAAGTATAATTTCTGCAATACATTTTATTTGTAGACGTATGAAATATTTTCTGGCTAGATACTTTCTGAATGTAATTGGAAATGGTGGATAAGTGAGGTGTGTCAGAGTTAGCAAGTAAGCAAATCTTGCCATGTATGCAACATTATTTTTTTTTATCTAGAAAATGCCAGAAATCACTCTTTTGCTGGTTATTGCAAATTAATATATAGAACACATTTATGTAATTGATGAAAATGTTTTTAACTGCTTCCTTCACACTTTACATTGAATTGTTTGGATAGTAATAAGAATAATGTATACCGGTACTGGAATCATTTATTTTTTATCTTTTTAGGTCTAACTTTCAAAATTACTTAATTTACTACATATTAACACCACAATAATTGTAAACAAAACTTTAAACCAGGGCCAGTGCTTTTTATTGAATAGTAACTCATAGTTTGTCCATCAAACCTTACAGCCTTGTATGATGATGTTGAAATTGTATGAGATGAAACGTATTTATTTTTTTTGTCCTTTGTAGATGACAAAATTAGAAGAGAAGCTTGAGAAGGAGTTACCAGATAATGGACATGTTGTAGCTTGTAGATTTCCTTTCCCCAATTGGCAGCCAAAAGAGACAATAGAAGGTGGACCAGGAACTGTCTGGTTATATATTAAGCAAAACACTGGGAGATCTTCCTGATGGGCCCAAAAAGTCCTAATAGGTACAACACTTATATCTGGTCCATGCCTCAGATATACAAGTTAGTAAGGATACTCAGATTAAAACCAAAATCAGGTTTATTTGTTTTAGAGAATGACCTTAGTGAAACAAATCATCTATATTTGAATTTTAAGTCTTGAGGTGTGATAGAGATTATATCATGTGTGAATAGTTTAAGATTGGATTGTATAACATAAACTCAAAGATTTTTTTATTTCAATATCCAGAACATGATTGTTACAAATAAGAAACCATAGACAAAATATCCCCTGAATTTCAATCAAGTTATTAATGTTCATTATTCTGAATATTTCTGAACTTGGAAAATGATAATACAAAACTTTGTCACAAGAAACAGATTTAGTTGTATAAATATTTCCCGTACCAGCAGGAAAAGCCAAGTTTCAGCTGATCTATAACTTTCTGTACAAAAATCTCACATTTTGGTTGTCGCTAAAAAACACATGATGTACTGAGTTTACTGACATTCACTGCCAAAATATTGAGAATGTTTGCATGCTTGAATGGAAAGTTTATTAATAACTTAAGTTGCAGACAAAGTGGACATCTGATTTCATAGATTGAGCTCTACTGGTTGGTAACCTCAACTCATGAATTATGAACTTTACCACTTAACACCTATAATGAAACACTATGAACAAAGAAAATAAATAGATAAAGTCATTTAATAACCTTCAAGCACAATTTTAACAGTTTTGAGAACCAGAACTTGTGATCACTATAAATATGAATTTGAAATTTATGTTAAGATCACAACCTCCAAAACAGTAGATTGTTCTTTTTTATGCCATCAATTTACATTAATATCATTAACAGCTGTAAGCTGAATAGCTCTTTCATTACAATAAAACAAAGAAATTGAAATCAAGAACAATCTGAATATCGCTTGTGATAATTAAACAAATATATAATATCAGTAATACTGAGACATACTGGCACATAAATAATTAAATAAGTATAATATTTCTTAACAAAAGAATATTTCATAAAATCAAAAAAAAACAATGAACAAAATACAGATCTATGTGATCCAATATTTTAACAAATGAGTTGCCTATAAAGGGAAAAAACAAATCTGTATTTTAATCAGATTGTGATAAATTATTACTGTCTAAACAGATCTGAAATCACTATCTCTCTAAATGATGTTTCTGAATGGCTTCATCTATAACTCTTCTCATATACTTCACAACTTCTGTTGGGTTTTCATTTTTAATAATAGCACTTCCAGAAACTATAACATTGGCTCCAGCCTAGAAGTTAAATTAGACTCAAATATCAGAATAAATGTTGATACATTATTGTTGTAAATGAATCAGTGAAGTAAAGGCTTGTGTCCACATACGCGATTTTCATTGCGTTTTCACGCCATATAATATGCATCAAGAGTAAGCTTGAAAATGTCACGGTGTAATGTGCCACGATGTACTATGTCCAGATAAGTATAGACGGAGGCACACTTGCTAGAGCGGAAGACAACATGGTGTACGAATCAGACATTAAACTGTCGTCCTGAAAAAAGAAGTCACTGGCTCCATGTTTGATGAATATCACAACTTGGTGAGTCAATTATTTTCGTATTACGATAAGTTTTTCATAAATATGTTCACCTGAAACCCTTCAAAGGTTATAAGCGTATTACGCATCATCGGCAGAGCGTGTTTTTTTTTTTTACAAAACACCTATGTGGACAAAGGACTATTGAAATGCCATTAATGTTATCTCAGCATTTTCATGTTGTGTATTATGTCGTATGTGATATGCAAACCCATATGTGGACACAAGCCTTAAGGTGTGGTATTCATATATTTTAGGAAAAATTCAGTCTTTGTAATAGAAATTAGATAGTCCATGTGTTAATGGATAAGACAACAAATAATACTAAGGTACATACAGAAGATAAAAATTTGACTTTATTGCACAAAGGTTATACTTACATCTGCACATTGCTGTATTGTATCTGGACCAACACCTCCATCAACTTCTATATCTAAATTTTTATATTTCTCTCGCAATGTTTCTACCTAAAAACATAGAATTACTAATAAATGGTGATTAATTCACCAATTTTTATGAAGAAAGGTAAAGCATCTGCAATATACTAAACTGGCTTTGATTTTCTACCTTCTACCTTATCATTGTGTGGAAAAACAGCATAGTAAAGACAAAAGTATCCGTTTTAGAAAGACCTTCTTAGGTTAAAACTGATCTATGACCTACCTTTGACATACATTCAGGCATAAATTTTTGTCCACCAAATCCTGGATTGACTGTCATTATTAATATAAGATCAACCTTGTCTATATAAGGTAAAACTACATTAACATCTGTAGGTGGATTGATTCCTAACCCAACCTAAAATATACACAGATTTTGTTATGTTTAGAAGACTTGAAAGACTACTTTTTTATTTGTCCTAGAAAGGAGTTACTGTTGCATCCCTTTGAGTTCCTCTCTGATATGCTCAGACAGAAGTAATGAGGATGTTTTGGAACAAAACTGACCAAATACCCCAATATTTCATCTTTTGCTATAACAAAGATTGTAATGAAAAAATCTAAAAAATACCTTCATTCCAGCTTCTTTTATTTTTCTGATACATAGATCGACATCTTTTGTAGCTTCATAATGAAATGAGTACAGATTACCACCAGCATCAGCTACTGGATCTACCCACTGAAACAGTTAAAACAAAACAAAGTTATTGCCTACATAAATTGATCAGATTTCATAACTCATAACTCGGCGTATATTGCCGTCACCCATGTCGGTCCATCCACAATTACTCGTAAACACTCTACAAGACACAATTCTTGATGGATTTTGACGAAACTTGGTGTGAGTGTGAATATCAGAAATATCGAAAAATATTTAGTATGTTAAATTTTGAGCTCATAAACATTCTAGAAGGCTCTGATTTTGACGAAAATTGGTGAAATTGTTTATTATCACCCATGGATGAACCCTATCGAAAATCCAAAAAATCATGTGTTTCAGTTATTGACCTCGTTCTTGAAAACGCTTTCAAACAATAAAAGGCATGATTCTTGCCGGATTTTGACAAAACTTGGTTTTATTATTCAGTACCGCGCTGAAGATTGAATATTTGCCCTCTAGAGTTTTCACGAGCTAAAACTTGAACACGTTTTCAAGAACAAGGGTTATAACTATTATTCATTATCGGCCTAAAGAGTTCAAAATAAGTGTATGGCTGAAGGTTGAATATTTCATACTGATTATTGTAACTGTACTGCTAAATATTTTTATTCAAAATCAAAGATGCCAGTGGGCATATATTACCTTGACTGGCGAGCTATCTTCAAATATTATTTTAAAAGCTCTTTTTCAAAATCCACAGCAGTTAAGAATGTTTAAACTGCATATCCTAATATTATCATAATAGTACTGAGTTTTAATTATAGTTCATCAAGATACTAAATATTTAACATACAAATAAAATATTCAGTATATCAGAATTTTATTTACCATACCATAAATCAATAACATATGTTTTAATATTTCTATATCGCTCTACATATCATATAAATTAAACTCATAAAACTAAGTAATAATTGAAAAACGCTTAATCATAATATTAAGTGTTTTTCAATAGTTAATTGCATTTTTATTCAGTTTTTTGGATTATATAAGGATCCTGTTATGTTATTTATGACACCAGGTATATCTACTGATGAATATATGCTCGTATTGGGAAAGTTTAAAATTTTTAAAGTTTCTGTTCATTCTAAGACGTAGTATCACTTTAAAATGAACAAGTGGTTGCCTAGCAAGATACTCCCACTTTCCTGATACATTTTCAATATATCAAGGGCAGTCACCTATCTGTGTCAAATCATACCAAAAATCAAGTTATTGCAAGATATTGTTGATTTTAACAAACACACATTTTTAATAAAATTCTGACAAAAACTGTAACCTCTATCGCTAACAAATTTTGATGCGTTTTCACAAATTAATGGGCAATAACTCAAATTCCGTTGATCGAAAAATTGTGAAATTTAATCTTGACTAAGATCTCATCATTATGGATGATAATACCAAATTTCATTTAAATCGGATGAAAACTGTACTCTCTATTGTTTTCACAAATAAATTTTGACGTGTTTTTCATAAATCAACCACATAATAATGTGGGCGTATAAAAACAGGATGTAAAATATGGCCTACTCTCTGACAACAATGATTTCTGAATTGACTTTTGCCAATTGTTTTCGAATGGATTGCAATATCAACTACAAAATACTAGTGAGAGTCTTTGGGTTGGCCAAATGTCAACCCTGGAAAAGTTATAATTTGTAAACATGATTTTTCAGAGAGAAGGGAATTTTCAGTCCGAAAAGTTGATCATTTTCACATGAATTATGTTCAAACCTGAACAATTCAGCTTATTACGATGCAAATATATTTCAACAAATAGAATATTATAAGACAGCTTATAACAGGATAAAAATGTGAACCTTCTCCGGATCTTGTACCATCATGTGCATTTCAAAACAAACGTTTGGTAGTTTTGGTCGTAGGCATTTTACTACAGGATGACCGAATGTTAGGTTAGGAACAAAATGTCCATCCATTACATCTAGATGTAAAAAGTCAGAACCACATTCCATAAATCGCTGACATTCACTGGTAAGTGATGATAAATCCGCATTTAGTATTGATGGAGCAATTCGACACGAACTGCCATTGGAAGTCGCCATCCTGAATATGGCAAATTGGGTGTCAGTAAAATGCTTAGCTGTCCGTAACTGAATCTATTTCACATGACTGTGAACAACTGCAGCGAAACTGAACATTCCAATTTTTTGATTATCATATTGAATGATTCAAAATGACAGTAGACTGTAGATCTAATTCCAATTTTGAAATTTGGTATAAATTACATGTACACAAAAAGTAAATGATATCAAGGGGACGCTTGGAAAATCCGCATGATACAGACGCCTACTCCGATTTCGAACATTTATCTGTTTTTTCTCAAAACGAAATATATTTTTTGCACATAGAGATCAATTCTGTATCTTTAGGAATAGTGAAAAAATATGATAAGAAATTATGTACTTAACTATTTAAAACTAATCAAATTTGGCTTGTTTGGAAAAGCTAAAGGAGTTTGATAAATGAGAATGCAGAGTTAGTTCCCTTTGTAATGTTTGGGAAGATAACTGATTTTTTTTGACATGACAGAACTTGACATTTTATTTTGTTGAGGGTTGCATTTGTGCTGAAATATTGAATATGACGAGCCCTGGGGTGACTCCCAGGTCTTTTCGCAAAGATCAAAGAATTATCAATTTGTCAAAAGAAATATTGGAGGCGAAAGATAGGAGAGTTCCAGTTCTGTTACTTGATCTCAAAGGCTAGTTTTGGCTACAGCCTACATTTTAGCATTTCATTTTTTTAAAACTATTACAGAATTATAAGGATTCAACACCGAATTTCGTCAAAGTTAAAAAGAAAAAAAATTTTTTTTATGTCTTAGATGTTTCCTCGGACATTCTACAAAATAATTAAAATTGGTTTATTTCGATTTTCTTTATGAATCCTTCACTTTGACCCATATTTCATGAGCAACAACTCGACAACGGCGGCAGAACGCATCACCTATTTTCATGTACAATGTTTGATCTATAAATAAGAAAAACACGCTGTATGGATACCGGGAGGTATAACTTACTTCTCTGAGTATTTATCTTTAATATCAATTCATTATAACTAGTGACAATTCCTTCAAAGAACCATGATTTAAAAAAAAAAATAGTGACTGACAAAATAAGATACGTAGTGTGATTTATTGCTAAAAGTCACTGAAACAACATAAGAATATGGTCCACTTTGTGTTCCATAGAAATTTTCTGCTGACATGGAATCCGCTAGTTTATCAGGTGACTTCATTCGTTGGACTACATTCTAGCAGACGACACTTGGAATTCCGATTACCGCTTGGGATTATAAGGAAATTCGGCCGATAAAAAATGGTGACGTTTGGTAATAAGTGAAATCCGCCATTTTGTATTTGTCAAAGTATACATTAATACATTTTACTTTGCTTGAAACTACTGGATTCATTCTACTAGCTTATATTGTACAGAAAACCCATGTTTGTCAAAACAAGCAAATGCGAAGGTCACGTGAGGTTGCACATGTAAATTATTAATCTTTTCCGGAAATCCATGAAAAATAGGTTACCGTAGCACGAAATAAGGTTACTTGACTGAGTACTAAAAATTTATAATTAATGTCTTTACACAGCTCTGTAACTTTTCATTTTTGTTAAGTTCATTTTTGTTCTGCTAGGAATAGGCTATTATTAGGCCTATTATTGTTTGCAATCAGTCTCTCAGAGGTCAGGGTGGTTGAAAAGTATTATGTTACCATTATTAATGATTCTTAGTAAGAGAAGCAAATTTATCATTATTAGCATTGTAGAGTATTGATTTTGATTTAATGCAACTGCAAGCTTCATCAATTGTTTAAATTATGATTTACCAGGGCAGGGATTTCTAAGACACTATTAATCCCACTAGAGCACTTTTATTGAAGTGAAACATCTCATTATTTTCTATTGAAGACATTTTAAACAGTTCTGAATCTACAAAAGATACAGTGAGAATAAAAAGAGAGTTATGGGAATATAATATTCACCAAGTGGTAATTCTAGTGTTAAGACAAGATTATAGTGTCATAACAGGAGAATGGTCAACTGCTGCAAATATAGCTAAATTGCTAAGGTAAGTACATTTGCTTAAGGAGGGGAGGGAGCTGTGGTAGCTCACAAAATTAGCCAAATATTGAGCTTGGAGGTCTGAATACATAAGTTAAGATAGGCTACATCCTTTAATTTTAGAAGTTTGGATTCCATGTCTCATAGGGAAAAGTAGGACGTAAAACTCCATTCATTTCATTTCATTTCATATCTCATAGGGCAATAGGGTAGACATGGAAACATGTTTTGCCTTCAAGCTTGTTTTCCTGCGAAAAAGGTGTTGTCATCTAATTTGGTCCAATTAGGAAACAAAAAGTAGGATGTCAAATTCTTTATTTCTATTTCGACAAAAATTTACTGAGATTTTAATATTTCTAAGTTTTGTTATTTATATATATTTCCAGTGTAATTTGTACAGGAATTGATATAAAGGGACCAGGTTCTTCAGAATTCTATAATGAATTATTACCTAAAGCTTGTGAGAACTTATTTTTATTGTCTCGACATATCCAGGCTCAAATTGCTCATGTAGAAGACACCATAGTAAGTTTTTTTTTTATTCACCATTGCAACTGTACTTACTATGTAACTCCTTGACCAGAAATTCTTGTTTTTGTCTTAATTCAACAATTTTTCATTATTTGTTATAGTTGAATGTTTAATGATCTTTTTTTAAATCCTGTCCTAATTAAAGAGAAAATGAAATCTTGAAAACATTGTTCTTCATATTTTAGAAGGGTGAAGAAGAAGAAAAGAAGTTATTTGATAATTTTCAAACTGTCATGGATTCTTTAGCTTTTCTGGTCTCGGCTCATAGTCAACTCTGTAAACAAGGTAGGCCTACTAGAAGATTGATAAGCTGATTAATTACAGATTTTTACATATGGGCTCTTAATCTTATCAAATAAACAGATAAATATTTATACAGAAATTGTTTTTTTCACTGTCAAATTTATGAATACTTTAATTATGAATAGTAGGCAATTAATAATGAATTTTATGAATTTGATTTGACCATGAGATAATTGATCTGTAACTGTTTCATAAAATATTGTCACTGCTTAAAATAAGCATCTGGTTTTATGAATTTTGCTGATTTTGAATTATGCTTTTTTGTTATTGATAGTGTATTCATCACCATGGTTACTACAGTTATTGATATCAGATGATCCAGATACTGTTGTTATTGTTATGACTTTATTGACCAAAATATTCAGAATAAATGGGTAGGAAAAATATATATTTTCTTTATTTGTCTGATGAGCTTATACATGTAAGTATTTATCTTTGGAATTACCTTATTTTAGAATCTTAAGAGAGTCCACATAGCTTATGAAGTTTTTATGGTATTTTACTTTTAATGTCAAAAGTTCATAACAGTCAAAAGGAGAAATCCAAAAATGAAATGCATCAAAGCTGAGAAAAAATTTAGAGATTGCTATCTTGCCATAGATATCTAGTGCATGAAAATTTCCAAATTACTAAATAATATGGTTATTGGTACAGTAGGGTGACATAAACCTGGTAGTCCACATGAATGAATGTTATATCATATATTGTAGGTATATTTTAAATAAATTAGATGACAGTATAATCTTCAATATAATGGACGAATTGATTTATAAATTAACAGTTAATAATGTTATAGAAGTAGCAGCGTAAGTTTCAATACATTATAGATTCTTCACCCCTGTTCATTAAATATCAAACAAATAAATTGTAACTATACCAGTATATATAGTATATCTCATCTCACATGATAATATATCATACCTGATTAATGAGAAATATACATCATACAGTAGACAATTTGTAAGTCTAAGATTTTTATAGCATACTGCTGTTTTGATCAACGCATACAAATCGAAGTACCTATCCCAATCTCATGAAATGATCCTGATATGATTTTCCTACTTGTTACAGTATAGCTACAAAGTGTGTATTAAAGATTTGTGATTATCATAGAGGAGTTGTTGGTTCATTAACAGCTAGATATAAGTAAGTTTGATGTTCATTTTTCTTAAGATAATTATAATGAAATAAATCTAGTTCTAGAAAATAGATATGTAAATATATTTGATAATAAATATAACAATGAGCAGTTTTTATATGACAAGTTAGGCTTTGTTTTTTTTTAACTGTTGTGAATGCATGTCTACAACACTATTTTGATCTTTTTGATGAAAATTTCTTGCTTCTGACATGTAGATTATGTTTCCAAGGAGAATTTTGGAAATAATCGTGCCTTTAACATTATTTCTAGGGGATTAAAAGCATTACTAGGTAAATGGGCAGGAGAAGGGTTTGATAGAGATTTAAGACATCTACATACATTATTAGAGACCGGCTCTGTACATAGAGCTGAAAATGAGGTAAGATCACTACTGATGTTTAAAATGAATACAAATGATACTTCAGACTCTCAGGAATGAACCTGGAACTGAGATGGAAAATGCCTATCAAGTCACATCTACTACAGAACTTATTGCAGTAGTAGTCAAATTCTGTAAAACTTTTTAATGGTTTTGACAATAAAGTGTTGCCATTGACACAGCCAGGTCCAGAACCTGGATTAGTCTTTTTATTACTCTTTCCTTGCCCTTGGTTAAACTAAGTGTGTGACTGAAGGCTTCATTAGATGGTGTCTATCTTCAACTGTTATGTTTGATTCATCACATGTCATAAATTTATTCTAATTCTAGAAATTTTTTGATGCAGCGGTTATGATACAGATGATGTGGAGAGGATTTGTTACCAGGAAAAAACTACGCAAAGCAAATAATGCATTTTCAAATTTTCAGAAATCATATAGGTAAGCTTACCTCTAACGTCACAAATGATTGTCAAAATATTTGCAAATATTAGCATAAAACAACTGTATGATGTTATGAAAAAGATTTTTACATTCATAGGCACAAAAATATATCTGTAACTGTTTGAAAGCTGATATACAAAAAAAATTAGAGTACTAGAGCCACACGTGGCACAGAGTGGGACTTTGCAAATGTAGCAAAATGCTAAAGACTCTGAAAAAATCAACCTTCTACGATAATTACATCACGCGCAAGAGCAGTCTAAAGTTGAGAAGAATTGTTTGTAAGATTGTTATAACGGAAGTAAACAGCCCTCACAAATGAAAGTATCAGAAGATAGCCAAGGTCAATGACATTTGACATTGAAAGGGAGACGGTCAACAAAGGTCAAGGTTACGAGATACAAGTCATCCAAATTTTTAATTATATACGGCTATAAAACCGGAAGTTGAGATAGGACAGCAAATATAAAAGTATAAATAGATAGCCAATGTGAATGACCTTTGATCCTACAAAAATCAGGGTCAAAAAAGGTCAAGGTCAAAAATTGAAAATTTTGAATTTTCAAAACCTGTTCCTTTTTTTGAACTTTTAAGCTGAAACAATCGAACTTCTAAGACAACGGGGCTCAACGAATGAAGTAATTGTATGCAAAGTTCCATTTTGAACAAATGTAAACGTTGCGAGTTATGTCCCTTGCCAAAATTGTCAATAATGAGTAATTTAACCCGGATGTGCTACGCCCACCTCAATTTCTTTTGCATAGGTTAATTGATATTCTGAATGTTATGTTGTGTTCCAAATTTAAAGCTTCTACATCATACAGGTCAAAAGATATAGGTCAACAAGAGTCAATAAAGGTCAAAATAGAAAATTGAAAATATAGAAATTTCAAAAGCTGAAACAATTGACCTATTAACAAAAACTGGCCAAAATCATGAGGTAATTGTGTGCAAAGTTCCTTTTTGAACAAATGTATCCTATGCGAGTTATGCCCCTTTCCCAAAATGTAAACAATTAGTAATTCAACCCGGATGTGCC